TGGTTTTTGTCCCAAAACTGATGCCCAAACTTGCAACTGATATACACGTTCTTATAGAGTTTCACTCTAAAAGCACATATCAAGCAAGTGAGAGCCAAAGCACCCCTATGATGGGGTAGGGTTACCCTGTCCTAGTTTCATCAGGAACTAGGGTTAGCTATTCAAGCAAAGTGTTTAACACAATCCTGAATCTGGGTGAGCAACCTGTTCTAGTTTGGAATAGTCTCTATGGCTTTCGATATACAACTAGGTCAATTGGTCAAAAAGGGTACCTCAGCAAGACTACCTAATATACCTCTCACACCTAAGACTGAGAAGTGAAGGGAGGATCAAATGGTACAACGGTAGTCCTGATCCAAGGGCTGTGTTCCCATCGTGGTAGAGCCCGCAACCGGTAAGCCTTTTGGCAAGCTTTTCGAAGCAAGCCTCCGGGAAACCGTTCAGGAATAGCAGATGGCAAACACAGTGACTTAGGCACACCAATACAAATGCAAATGTAAAAAAACACATAAGTGTAGATAAAATGTCATATCACGAGTTCGAGTCAAGTTCTCTAAATCCCCAGCAAAGTCGCCAGAAACAATGGCTCGGCTTTTCGCACCCCCCATTTCAGAAGGTTTGAAAGAAGCCCTATAGTTCGGACTCCCTTTTGAATCTAATCTCACAAGTGCAATGTGAAAATGATAAACTCCAAAGAGTCCAAATCCGGCAAATCGTTTTGGAAAATTGATTTTAAATCGAAAGTGCCAAACTTGGACTGCTTTGCCAGATACAGAGTTGCCACCTAAATATTTTATTATGGAAAAATTTAGGAAACCCTGACTCGTGCCAAAGGCCACGTGTCCGTCATCACTAAAGTTACGTCGGCTCGGGAACTTGGGTACGAGAAGTGAAGGTCAAAATTGAGCACCCCCGCTTGCCCGATCAAAGATCGGCCTCTACTAATCATGATATGATCTTTTATAAACATTATGCGCTCTTGTAATGGTTATTAAACTAGCTTTACTATGTGATGCGCACAAGCAAGTATAGACTAGTTTGCTCAATTTAGAACAATTCAACTCATGTTTGTTTGTGAAAATAGTTTGAATTTGCCACAAAACATGGTGGGCTTAAAACATGACTTATCACTCAACAAAGTGGGCTTAAAACATACATTTGTTGAATCGTTCCAATTCAAACAAGCAGCCTTCATCCACAGGCATTCATGCAGTTTAGGATTTAAGCACATAGCCTCATGGCAAGCATGCTAATCATGGCAACATTCACATTCATGCAAGTATGCTAAAGTGTAAAAACTCACCTAGTACTCCAAGCTAGGAAGATATGGGTTAGAATACTATGCATGCTTCCTAACTATGCAAAAATGCCTAATGCAATAGATGCAATATGCAATTGACAGGCTCAGCTACTAATATGACATATGAATCGATTTGATAACATGTGGTTAAACACGTATTCAAACAAATATTGAAATGACAATGCAGTTTGAATGATGCACCGAGTCTCGGTGCATGCAATACAAATGAATGGATGCAGGCATAAGGTATGCTAATTTGAAATATGATGCTCCTAATCTAACCATCAAAAGCGGTTAAGTGAAAGAGAGAAAGATGTGGGCTTGGAAGACATACACACAGGAATGCACACTTATTACAACATTACGCCCTCGCGAAGAAGGGTCCGAATGAATAAAAGCTAACAAACTAGCTACGCTAATGAAGATAACTAATACAAAACTTGAAACTAATTAACTAGCTATACTACCTAACTAATTATTACAAACCGAATTAATTAACTATTCTAGTTAACTAATTACAAAACAAAATTGAATAACTAGGTAAACTAACTAATTATTTACAACACTTAATTAGCTACAACTAATTAGTTACAACACATTTGATCTATTGCTACTTAAACTAATTAGCTAATCCCGGGAAGCGAGGGAAGCCCATGCATGCTCGGTTTCCACCCGAAAAGCCAATGCCTTGCTGCTGAATGTCTCTGTTTGCACATTGAACACCAACAATTCTGCCCACTTCCAGAATACCTCTACTCCACATTACCAACACACTGTGAAATTTCACTGATGGTCGACAAGGGGCCGGTCGGCTACCACTGGTGGCCGGTTGCCTACTGGTGGTGGGTGTCGGCCACTGATAACCTGGACTTCCTTGCTGCAACAGAAAGCAAGCAGAGCAAAACAGTGTATTTCTCAAGGGTTGTTTGCACACTTTGCCCCTCCTTTTCATGAGGAAATCAAAGGAGGGACAAAATTTGAAACCATCAATCAAGCAATTTCATTGCATGATGGCTTGTGAAACCAATTGTGCAAGTTTAATAAATGCAAAATGAGACCAAATAAGGCATGAAAGAAGCTTCATGCCGTTGGTAATGAACCCTCAAAGGAGGATTAAACCATTCAGCATGAGCCTTAATCTCAAGCTTAAACAACCCTAAGGTTGAAACAACCCTCAAAGCAAATGAAGAAGTGAAGAAATGAGGGAGATTGCAGAGATTATAAGTGCTGAAATTAGGTGAGATAAAACACTAAAACATGCAATCAACTCAAACCAATGGTGGTTAAAGCCTTAAAACACAAAGCTAGTGAAAGGACTTACACTACAAGCATGCAATACAAGACTCAAAAGTACCAAACAGCCAAAGCAGTGGCAAAACAGCTCAAAACAAAGTTCAAAACATGCTGGACTTGAGCCACAAAAAGCTAAAACATTAAACTAATACATGGGGCTAACTAGGCATGCAAACAAGACATAAGGAGGGGAGGCTAACCCCTCCAAATTTAGACTTCAAAATGATTTTTTTGCTACCGAAAAACCTCTAAAATTTTGTGGTTAGAAGGCCCAAAAAAGCTGGTTTGAAAGTGGTGAACAAAGGTACAAAAGCTTTACAAACAAAGAAGCAAGAAGGGTGAACCACCCCTTAATTGAAAATGGCCTTAAACCACCACCTTTAGGCCACAAAAATAGAGTTTTTGATAGTTCAAAACCATCTCCAAAATAGTTGAAAAAGATGGCAAAGCAAGTGTGCAAAAACAAGTATAAAATGAGAGTGTTATACCTCTTGAAGGGAAGGCACAAATGAGGCAACAAACCAAGCCAAGACCACCTTCTAGAGCTCAAAAAGGGTCTGAAGCTACCTTAACCCAAAGATAAGCAACTTTGGTTAAGGGCTAATAGACAAAAGTGGAGTGTATCCAAGCAACTATGCACAAAATTGCTAGAGAGAGAGAGAAATGTAGAGAGAGAGATAGAGAATTTTGTTCCGAAATTGCTAACCCTCAAAAATGAGGGAGGAACCCCCCTACATATAGAAAAACAAGCCTTGAGCATAGAAACATCCTACCATACACGTGTTTGTAGGGAGATGCAGCTCAATGTGCTAACAGCTGGCACAACTGTCAACAAATATCTAGAAAAAGACACTGGTGGCTGTCGACCACTGCTGTGGCCGACCGGCCACACCAATGGGCGACAACCATGAGCCATGGCCGATATCCTATGGTGGTGGCCGACAAGTCACCAAAAGTTCCAGACTCGAAACACCAAGCTTTTGGTCCAAAACACATCTCGGATTACTGGCCAGTTACGGCCTAAACCTCTAGGGATGGGTTCGGGTAGTGACATATGTAAGTACCGCTCAATGGATATTTTCTTATAGCTTATGCTAAGCCCCATTTATAATTATATGATTCGATTTTGTGGTAGAGGCTAACGGTAATCTAGGATTACTAGTCAGTCATGACCTAAACCTCTAGGGTGGGTTCGGGCTGTGACAGATCTACCAAAATGCTGGAAGATTGCAATGTTTGCTCGAGCCACCACTAGGTTGCTCTAGCGGGCTACACAAATTTTGGATTTCAAAACTGAAAGATTGAGCTTTTAAGCACCAATGCAAATGAAAAATCCATGCATGGCTTGTTCTTTAAGCATGAAAACTCTTCAATAAACATAAATACATAATCATTGGCAAACCCTTTGCTCAAAACTCATCAACGCCTCCATCTGGGAATAGGGTCGAGGCGATCCTCACCTTTGCCGAATTTCCAGTTGCCTTGGACAACGACCATAACATCATCGGCTTGCTTCCCAGAGCTGGAAAGCATAGTCACTAGCTGATGGTCGGTGTCCTTGGCCCTAAGGAAATAACGTCCGTGCCGACCAGAAGACTTGGTCAAGGCATAACAATGCCGGATAGCTGGGATGCCGAGGTTAATCCTAAGGCGATAGTTTAGCTTTATAATCCCCATTAGGATTCTAAAAAACTTGACATTGGGTTGGGAAGGGATTAAACCCCAATGGCAAAACACAGTCCTAAGGAATGGGTGAAGAGGGAAACGGACTCCACCCTCTGCGATTGATAGGAGAGGGAAGACAATGGTGGTTTCATCAGCCCTCTCCATATCGAGGGTGTCGTCTGTCACGAGTGATAGACGGACGTCATCAGGAATGGAGAAATGGCGTCGGAAGCCAGAAATTCGATCTGAGGAGAGGAGATCTTTTAAATGTTTTGCCATTTCCTTCAGCCTATAGAAATATGCTAGGTTAATTGGTTTTAAAACTTTTTAAGTGCATATAAATGCATTTCAACAATATGCCAAATTGTTCGAAAAAGTGCCCAAAACAGGGTCAAAATAATCAAAAAATGCGGTGGTTTTCTAAATAAAAAGAAAAAAATAAAATCTAATTAGCGGAAATGAACATGACCTGATCCATTTTTCAAACTACCCAAGCGACCCCTTGGCCTTATATAAACCCATTTTTTTAACCTACGGTTGTGATTACAGAATTGGGGCTTATGTTTTATTGCCTAATTTGTGTTAATGAAGATGAAAAATAATTGAAAACTAAAATAAAGGCAGTGAACCATATTTATCAATTTATGAAGAAAAAATCAGCTTAGTTACTAGTCAAACAAAAACAGAATAGAAAAATAAGACAACTTTGTAAGAGCAATGATAATCCTTTAAAAGCATATCAAGAAATCCAATAAAATCACCATATGAGGGGTAGAAAAGACCTTACATTGGTATATAATGAGTAGAGATTCCCCCCATCTAGTCCTTCTGGCAATGCTTCTTTCACTATCACACAAGTACACCTCCCAATGTCCACTGGCAAAGGTCTACACAACAATGACCTGAAACCACAGAGCGACAAATACCAAATTAATGCATAGTTCTTCTTGTTCTAGATAAAATGTAGATACATGTATTAAAGTCACCAATTGCCCAAAAGACTTAATTGATTGTCCGAAAAACTTAAGTTGTTTAAAAAATGTGTCCAACAACAGGTCTAATAATGTATATCAAGCTAGCACTCACCCCTTAGGTGTAACACCGTCACGTAGAGAGACAAACAAACCGAGAAACAAGATGCACAAAGATAGACAGTATAGAGTGCACAATGACAGTAATAAGCCCAACAAGGTATATCATGCTAACACTCTTCTTTACATGCAGCCCTGTCTCGCAAGTGGAGTGAAAAACAAGATACATTGAGACAGACCTAATAAATGGGGTGACAAGACTTGAACTCAAGATTTCCTTGAACCAAAAATCTGCTACCATTATATCATATTCAGTCACCAATTGTCCCAAAACATTTGTTTGGTTGAATTTTCAAAATATGTTTGGTGAAAAAAAAAATTTAAATCACTTAGTATTATTTTCATATGATTTCTCTTTTTTTGAAGCTGAAATAATGTTTAAAATTTAAAAAATATTTTTTTTATGTTTGTTTTTTTCAAAAAGAAATTCAAAAAACAAGTTCTAAAAACTTAACTAAACGAAAATTCTTCGAAAATGGACCCTATCAAGCAAACAATACCTGATAAATCAAATTCAAAGGGTACAAAAACTACCTGTTAGGCAATGTAGACCAAGATGAAGCAGGAGCAGCCTCTGAATCCGAATAATCCCAAATATTAACCGAACCCGTATTATCCGAGCCAACCGGGTCCCAAATCTTCGACCCAAAATTCGAATCAGGCTCATTCATTTGCATACATAGCTGCAGAGAAGATGGCTTCAATGCCCTATCCCTCACATAAGCCTTCCCATTAGGGATCTGTTTGGCCACAGCACAAAAGCCATTGTTGGGTACTGCATTTTCTTTGTCATCAAAGACGGTAACGGGGTTTTGGCACATACGGGCGCCGAGAGCAACGCCGCCATCACTGGAGCTACGGTTGTGTTTGAGGTCAGTGAGGGGATTGAGATAGAGGGAATTGTATGAAGATTGGCGCGGAATTGAAGAATTCTTGAAATCAGACACCATGGTATGGGCAGAGAGATAGGGAAAAACAGTTCAATGTTGAATAAAGTGAAGTTGAAACATAGCAATTACCAGTACTATTGTAGTAGATGGTTTGAATTGGGTCTTGTGTTTTGTGTCTTTTATGGTAGTTGGTGTGTTTGAATTTGAAAAATTTGCAGTGGGAAATGTGTTGAACGTTGGGAATATGGGACAGTAAGCTTCCTTTCACATCCAATAATTTTAGTTTAAAAGTCAAAAAAAAAAATTAAAAAAAAATTATTATTATTATTAAAAAATTGAAAAACCTGTGTAATTTATATTAAAAAGTTAAAAATTTTATTTTCTCTTTATTTTTTTACACATATTTTCATAAAAAATTACAAAGTCATACTAAATATACTAATTTGTTTTAACTTATATTTTAGTTAAAAAAATTAAAAAGTTATTAAAAAAATATGTCCCAAACGAGACCTAAATCACAATATGGTGTTTTTTTCCAATCTTTTTCAATAATTTGAATTATTTATATTCTAAACTTTGTTGAGTAGATTATTTATGTAAAAAAAATAAATTGATTGAACATCTATAATTTCGTAACAAAAACACATTTATTTTTTAAAAAACAAAAGATTAACATGATGTTGATAATTTTTTTAAAACAATTAAAATCTGATTACAAGATTGTAGTTTTTTAATTAATTTAATTTTTTATATTAATAATATACTTCATAAAAAAATAAATAAATAAAAAGTGACAGCAACCAGGATCCCCTAATACAGGAAAATGTGGGTTTTGTGGGAGGTAACGGTAACTATTTTTGATTGTTTGTTGTTTGGGTGGGTGTGTATCTGAGAATCGGACTTTTGGACTATATGGTTTTTTGGGAAGGGGAACGAGCGGGAAGCAAGTTTGAATAGTGAGTTGAGTGAGTTAAAAGGGTATGAATATCAGTATTAAAGTCTGTGTCGTGACGTGACTCGTGAACGGCTCGGTCCGACACACGAGAACTACATCTAAAGCGCACCAGTGGTGAAAGTTTTTTAATTTTTTTTTAGTCATATTATTTTATGAAAAATACTTGAGAGCACTAAAAAGGATTACTAGAGGGAGTACTAATGATGTGGCAGTAGGCCCCGTCCACTTTCTATGCCTTGTTTTTATTTTTTTATTATTTTTTTTGTCATTCCCAATATATTAGTGCTATTAGTGATGTATTTTTTAGTGGTCTAAATCATTGTTGTTATTTTATTTTATTTTTTTGTACTATTTGTCCAAAAAAAATTTAAAATATCAACTTTTAATTTATTTTTTAAGATAAATTACACTCACACCCCTAAAGTTTATCTTTATTACAGTTCCTTTCTCATCTTTTAAAAATTATATCTCCCTCATGAGGTTTAAAGTTTCATTACAGATTCTCCCTTTTAACAATTTAATTTTTTTAAATATCAATTTTGCTCTCATTGGATAAATTATATTGATACCCCTCACATTTTAGAAATTGCAATCCCCTCCTCAAGGTTTAAAGTAGTATTACCAATTGCTCCCCTTGGTTAGTATTAGTGGGAAAAAAAATTAATTGAAAAAAAAATTATTTGAAAAAAAAATTGAAAAAAATTTTGTTAGTAAAATTTTAAAATTTTTGTTTAAAAACCAACGTAAATTCATTTTTTTAATTTGTGTTTTTTCTTCAAATTTACAAACTGAGACAACCATTTATAAACTAAAAAAATTATCAAACAAGTTTTTATGACAATTTTTTAAAATTTTTATAAATATAAATTGAAAACTGAAAACGAAATAGTTACCAAACAGGCCTCAGATGGTAAAAATGTCGTAAAATTAACAAATAATTAAATAAGTTACCAACGTAAGAAATAACTTATTAAAAGATTCTTAGGTTATGTATGGTTTGATTTTTAGAATTTTTTTTAAAAAAATTAAAAATTAATTTGGTTAAGAAATAAAAAATAATTATTATTTAAGGGTAAAAAATAATTATCATTTTAACTTTTGGATAGGTTATATATATACGTATGGTTGTTTTAATTTAATTTGTAAAAAATTATTTCTAACCACTCGAAAGATAAAAATTATATAAAAATGATAATTATTTTTTATTTTTTATTTCTTAGCCAAATTAATTTTTAATTTTAAAAAAAAATTAAAAATCAAACCATACATAGCCTAAAAATCTTTTGATAATTCATTTCTTACATTAATAACTTATTTAATTATTTGTTAATTTTACGACATTCTTACCATCTAAAGCCTGTTTGGTAACCATTTAGTTTTCAATTTTCAATTTATATTTACAAAATTTAAAAAACTGTCATAAAAACTTGTTTGATAATTTTTTTGGTTTATAAATAGTTGTCTTAGTTTGTAAATTTGAGGAAAAAATATAAATTCAAAAAATGAGCTTACGTTAGTTTTTAAACAGAAAATTAAAAATTTACTAACAAAATTTTTTTTCAATTAATTTTTTTTCCAATTAAATTTTTTTTTTCAATGAATGTTTTTTCCAACTAATACTAACCGAGGGGACAATTCGTAATGCTACTTTAAACCTTAAGGAGGGGATTGTAATTTCTAAAATGTAAGGGGTGTCGATGTAATTTACCTAGTGACGGCAAAAATTGGTATTTAAAAAATTTAAATTGCTGAAAGGGGAATCTATAATGAAACTTTAAACTTTAAACCTTTAGGGATGATTTGAGATGTTCTAAATAAGTGTATTTTTTAACTTTTTATATAAAAAAAAATGTGTAGAAAAATAGAGAAAGTTGTTAGAAAAATAGAGGTAATATTGATAGATGTTAATTGATATGACACAAATACGTATATGTAAATAAACAAAAAATATACTTTTTTAATTTATCCCAAACACGTACGTAATATATGGTTGTTTGGACATCTTTGAGTCAATAAAAGTGCTATAGTTATAACATAGCAATTTATATAAAAATTGAGCTTCAATATAGTTGTTATTGCAGTTGTTAATTGCAGTTAAATTTTCACAATGTTATATTAGGAAAGATTAAAGTGCGTATACTATGTGTATTTTATAATTAAAAAAGAAATATTATAATTTTATATTTTTCAGTCAAAAGTTTAAAAAAAAAATCATAATTAAACACTACATAAAATATAACTAAAAATCTCATAAATTATAATTAAAAAAAATGACATAGTTAATGTACATATGATACACACTTTAAGGGGGTGTATAATAAAATGGAAAATGTTTTGCTCCCCGAATCTTTCTTCCCCGAATCTCCCGACTGCCCGAAACGACGTCGTTTTGGATTCTCTTACCGGTAAGATATATTAAATTACCGGTAAGATAATTTTCATTAAATAACCCCCTCGAAAAACGAAACTACCATTTAAAACGACGTCGTTTTGGATTCGGGGTAAATTCGAGTTTGGAAATTTCGAGCTACGTATCATTACTGTAATAAAATTTTCCGCTTATATTTTATGTTAAATTTAGCATAGATTTGACAGACTGTCAAATCTGCCACCTCATCAAAACCAATTTCTCTTTGCCTTTTCATTTTAGGTTTAGAAAAAAAAACAAAAAAACACTAAAACTTGAATGGATGCATTTATATATCTATATAATAAGCGAGAAAGGTTTTTGAAAATATATAAAATGTATCATAGATACATTCCATTTTAAGGGCTCAAATCAATTGTGATAATCATCAATAGTTGAGAGGATGCTTTAATTCCCGCCCAAACACTCGATGCTCTCCCCCTCTTCCACCTACCCACGTCTCTCCTCATTTCATCTTTATCTCTCTCTTCCTCTATGTTGCACGTCTCCTCTCATTCCCTCCTTATCTCTATCTCCCTCTTTGTTCCTCTTCTTTATCTCTCGCTCCCGATGCTACCTCTCTCCTTCACTCTCACCCGATTTCTACCTCTCCTCCCTTCTCTCGCAATAGCTTCAATTCGCAACCCTTCCACCCGATTTCTACCTCTCCCCCATTCTCTGTCAGTGGTTTCAATTCGCAACCCTTCCACTCACTTTCTGAAGGCTAGGGTTTCTGATTAAGAACCGCGAAACCGAGTTCGCTCCTCCTACCACCACAGCCGCCGTCGCCGTCTTTGCTTTCCCTCACTACTTCGAACCCCGATTGGAGCTCTCCGGTACCTCTCTCCTTCTCTCTCTTTCTCTCTATGCTTCATGTTTAAATTGTTGATTCATGGTTTCTGGTTTATCATCATTTCCGTTTATGGTTCATGGCTTATTATTTGGTGAAACAGAGCTACTTCAGAGCTATACCAAACCTGAGACTTCTATCTGTGCAAGGTAATATTTCTGTCTCTATTCTCCTTCTCTCTCTGTTCCCTTCGTTTTCTTCTACCAACGGTTCCAGTTTCACCAGTCATGATTTATTTTCATTTTATATTGTTGGGTTTGAATTTTTCAGAATTCTCTCTAAAATTATCAAATTTACATTTGTCCTTCACACACACGTATGAGCGAGTCTTGCATTCACAATAGCTGGAATTTTTTTTAACACTAATTAACACCCTTTCTAACACTGTCAGTCTGTCATCATAAGCATTACTTGAACATACCATCTCTATTACAATCCTAGAACAATATTACATACTGGAGACCTAACAATGAAATACAATATTACATGTGTGTAACGCCCTCGAAATAATAACATTAAACCCATCAATATAGACATGCATTGATATATAAAAGCTCCACTTTTTTCTATTCATCAGAGTTTCATTACCAAAAAGTATTGCATGTTAACGACAAAAGCATTGATGATATTTACACTTACTAACAGAGTATGTACACCCACCTTCCATTGTCGTTTGGGGTGTCCCAAAATAGTTAACCATCTTGAAAAGCCAAGAAACTAATACTGTTATCATCATTTTGTTAAGTTTGAATGCATTTAATAGATGGACAACTTTGAAAATTCTTACTATATTGTTAAAGTGTAAACATATTAACTCATAAATTAAATTTTTTTTTCTTTCCTTTTAAACAAAGCCCAAAGTAATTGTTTGTGTTTGTTATTTTTTTTAAAAAAAAAAATTACTTAAACTCCATACATATGATAAAATGCTTAACAAAGCCAAGATAGTTAGGTTTGTGTGAATGCATTTAGCAGAGGGACAAC